AGGTGGCCGCCGAGGCCGAGCGGCATAAACGCTCGACCGAGGACGGAGATACGCGGGTGGGCGGGCCCAGCCGCGGGGTTCTCAGTTCCAACCCCTGACCGAGCCCAAAGGTCAAAAAGGGGGACTCTCGTTGAGAGCCTCCTGAGAGCGAAAGCCTTAGCAGCTGTGTGTCGAAGAGTATACGGAAGTATAGCCGAAGCACCAGTTAGGCCGACGAACACCTGTTCTAAGGCTTCCTCTCGAACCCTTTTTAACATCCGAGTTCCTTTCTATTTTCGCTTGCCACTAACTCGTCTCAAGCCGAGTTACTGACTCATCTGGTAACAGACGACCGTGAACCGCTGGTTGGTATGTCCCCTCCTTCATGCCAAGAGGTTACTAACCAGGTGGCAGATCACACTGGTACCCTTCGTCAAGCCTCACTCACTTGACTTAGGCTTAACCCGTGTGAACCCTGCTACACAGACGCGGCCGGCACATGCCCGCGATGGCACGTGATTGGTATATTCATCGCCCTCCCTGTGGACTAAGCAGCATGCGTTGCGGCTCCTGCGTCGCCCTCGTCCGGTCTGGCGTGGCCGATTGCACTTGGGACTGGCCCACCTGGGTGGCAGCCGCCGAGGACTGAGCCGCCCGGTGGCGCTGGGCCAGCAAGTCTGGAAGCACCGGGGCGAACATCAAAATCCCGCTCCAGCGGCTGCTCGCGCGATCGAGCACCCCCGACCATGGGGTGGTTGGCTGAAGGTGCAGATGTTCCGGGTGCTGCATGGTGCCCACATCGAAGAAGCAGTCCCTCCCGCAGGCCAGGTTCACCGTGCCCCGGTAGAGGCTAGCCCGGACATCGGAGAGGTGAATGAACGTGGACCCGGGCTCCCAAGCGCCCGCTGACCGTGACATGTCTCCCCAGCTGCATTGTGGAGGCCTCTCGGCGGTTAGAGGCTGCCCAGGGGAAGGAGAAGCCAATACAGCAGCAAGAGCCCCCTGAGTACGTACATGATGAGGGGAATCCCCTCCGGGAGACTGTCATCGTATACAAGCACCTCGCGCTTGAGCAGTGTCACCTCCACTGGCGGGGTGGCCTCGTTCTGCGGATCAAGATAGAGTTTCTTCCCTGCAAGGGAGAAAGGGAGGGGCGGGGGGGGGGAGGGGAGAGATGACGCCAGCAAGCGGCATAATGATAATATAATGCGCCGAGGGCAGCGGGGGCAGTCATGGTGGGGAGGGGGGAGAAGACGAAAGGGGGAGCGAGTCAGCCATGCAGGGGCAGCCGCCGCGGGCCAAGAACCGAGGGACGACGCACGGAATTCCTGCTCCGGGGAGACAGCCACGACACCGACGATCGCGGCACTACCAGTCCCGGCGGGCCCGGTCTCGCGCGGCTGGCTGCCATCCGAGAAGTCCTCACAGTCGGCCGTCCATGAGGCCAGAATGTCGGCCAGTGGCCTGGCCACGAGGGCCGCACGCCGAAGTGGCCGCAGGAAACGCTGGCGCCCGGTGAAAGGCCGAATGTCGCAATTGTCCCGACCGACAAAGATGTGGGCTTCGTAGTCGCTGGTGGTTGGCAGGGAGGTGAAATTCTTGCTGGCCGCCTGGGAATCCTCCTGGCTGCCGGAATCCGGCGCCGGGGGTGATGGATGGTCATCCTCCGTCGGGGATCGCTCTGGCGGCGGCAGATGCTCCGGGAAGTAGGATGCAGGCAATTCGCGCATCTTTTCCTGCTCACGCTGGATGATCTCCGGCCGGTGGCGGATATCCGGGAAGAAAAGCTGAATGCGATCATCGAGCTACGGGCGACCGGGTTACCATGGATGCCGATGTCCCTGCCACACACACACACACACACATATGGCCGAGCCGAAGAAGGAAGCAAATGCCGGAAGAGAAAGGGAAAGAGAGGGGGAGAGAGGAAAGGGTACCTTGAGGGAATCAAAGCGCTCCGGGCTATCGGACCAGCAGAGAACCGCAATAGATGCCGAGTCATCCCGAATGACAAACTTCCGCAAATACCGGATCTCCTCCTCTGTTGAGATGTGATTAGCAGCGGGCAAGAAGGCTTGACTGGCACGAGGGGGTGGGTCGCACCTTTCTTGGACATAAATGGCCGAGCGGCATCGGAGTAGATGATCCGCCCAACCAACGACTGTCGGCGATTGGGGCCAAAGTCAGTGACATGTATCCAGCAGCAGGGGTGGCTTTGGCCGGAGAAAAAAAAAGAGGCCACAAGCAAAGCAGCAGCAGCGGCAGCCGGCGCAAAGGTCACAAGCAGCTCTTGACGGCAGCTAGAGGGCGCACATTGAAGGAGGCTCCCTCGCCAATCTCCGCGATGTCAATGACAAGAGGCGGGGCCACGCCAGGGGATCCATCTTCCCCCGGCTCCGCGTCAGAGTGATCGCCATCGCCGGCTTCATGGCCGTCCGCCGCGCCGGGTCCTTCCGAGTGCTTTCCCTCCGCCGACTGGGAGGAGAAGAGCATCGCCGCGCGGCGACGCTCCGCATACTGGCTCTCCTGACTTGAGTCGTAGGAAAGAAGGTCCGACCGATCGACCGAAAAGAAATCACCCTCACCGGAGCGACTGGGCGTCATGTCGACCGGTGCCACAAGCGGCGACCGGAGCAAGGTCCCAATGTGCCCGTGCCGAGCCGGGGAGGGTGTCACTGCGCCGGAAAGGCGGGCACGCTTTTGCGGCGTGGCGCCGTGGATGGACTCGCTCGCTCGATCCAGCGACCTGCCAAGCATGCAAAGGAGGTCTCCGGTGTCGGCATCCTCCAGGAAGCGGCCAACCCGCGCGTTGGGCTCGCCCACCCGGCCGGGACTCGGCGATGGCGGGGCCGGCGATGTCACTGGACCGGTGCCCGGAGTACGCAGGACCAGAGGCGATGCGGGAGGGCGTCGCCTGGGCAGCGGCCCGGGGGACATCGAGTACACTGTTTGCGGAGACTGGGGCAAGCGCCGGCGCATGCCGAGGCGCGGCGGAGTGGGGAAGGGGCTCTCCTGGCTGGACCCTTCGCCGGGAGTTGAGTGGGGCTGGCTCATCGGGGGTGCGCTTGGGTGCCAGGACGTGGGGGCGGGTGGGGGTGATGTGCGTTTGGAGTGCCGGGAAGGGGAGTCTGGAAGTGGGGGCAAGAGCAGGTGGGGGCGGGCGCCTGGGGGGGGGCGGAGGGATGTGGCCCGATGATGACAGGACCTGCGTTCCTCGGACCGAGAAAAGTTCGGGCGCCTCGGCCGGCAAAAGGCGCCCCGGGCGTGTGTGGTTCACAAGATGTGGCGGGAAGCCGAATTCGTGGCCCGAGATACCGGCCAGCTAGATCTCGCATATCACGCGGGTGGCACCACCCGGGGGCGGGCGCGCGGAGTCTTCTGAAAGTGTAGTACGAATGACCAGCCTCAAGCCCAGGGGGCCGGGGATCGGCGGGCCGGGGCGGGGCCGGGCACATCTGTGCGCCAGCGCCCGAGGCCTGTGTGAGTGAGTGCGGGGGAAAGGGAACAGCGGGGGGCGGGGGGAAGGAACAGCGATTGGATCGGTGGGGCCCATTCCACGGGTGTGGCGGTCTGTCCCACGCCCGGGGCTCTTCGGTGGTGCATGCGTGTCGGGACTTTGGCCCGTGTTTTCGGGTGCGCATCATTGGGGCCGCCTGAAAAGGTGACTCCGCCGGCGGTGTACTCACACGGCCGACCGCGGAGGGACGATGATGGGGTCGAGGGGAGGGGGGAGGGGCGCGGGGCGCACGGGCGACTGTGTTCCAGCCGACCAAATGTGATGATGGGGCATGGCCGGGCGGATGATGCAGTCTTGGGGGCGTGAAATTCGCCCGTTTCCGAAGCCCGCCGGTGGGGCGCGCCCGCCCCGGGGCCGTAGTTGTCATCGGTCTGGCCCGCGCTGGAGGGGCCGCCTTCTGGCGATCCCGGCCACAGGTGGAGGTGCGGTCTTCCGGGCCAGGGGCCGGAGGGGGGTTGGGCTGACGAGGCCATCAAGCCCTTGATGTTGGTGTCTGGGTCCCCTCCGGGGGCGGGGCGGGGGGGCGGGGGGGGAGGGCGCTCGGCGTCTGTGCCTCCGCCTCCTCTCCTTCACGCCCCGGTAGCCCCGCAGCCCCGCCCATCCCTCACAGAGGGCGGGATCTGGATCAAGGCCTGGAGCCCGGCGGGCAGATAGTGCCAGGTCATTTATTAATCCGCTGAGCGGCCTTCCAGTTGCCCGAGCACCGCGAGTGGGCGCCGCCCCCCGCCCCCCTTTTCAGTGGCGGGGCGGCTGTTGTTTTCTCCGCAGAGCGCCCTCTCGCCCAGATGTTGTGTGGGAGTTCTCCAGGCGTCTCCCGCCCACGCCAGGCAAGATCTCGCTCTGTCCCCCCCCCCCCGCAATGAGTAGCGGGCCTGGAGGGGGCGGCGTCAATCTGCCG